TGATTTCTGGATATTTACGAGTTTTTAGGTTAGAAAAATCCGTAACTTCTGTAGATGAACACCTTATACGCCGTGATGGTTACCTTTGGAACCGTCTCATTATCCGCTTTTAGAAAATATATACTTTGCCTGGGGTCCGATGAAAAAAGTGCCTGGGTGAAGGGTGTCCTAGTGATTGCTGGAGTTTTTCAAGTTTTTAACATAAAAAATTCATAACTTCTGAAGATGAGCATCTTGTACGCCGAGATGGTCACCATTAGAAGCACCTCGTCCTCCGCTTTCAGAAAATATATACTTTGGCTGGGGTCCGTTAGAAAAAGTGCCGGGTGAAGGGTGGGTGAGACTTTTATAATGGGAGTGCTCAAGTACAGGCTTTTTTACCATTCTAAAAAGACGTCTACTTGAGCATTCCCATTATAATTCTCACCCACCTTCACCCGGCACTTTTTCTAACGGACCTTAGGCAAAGTATATATTTTCTGAAAGCGGAGGACAAGACGGTTCCAATGGTGACTATCTCGGCGTACAAGATGTTCATCTACAGAAGTTATGAATTTTTTTATGTTAAAAACTCGAAAATCTCCAAAATTCACTAGGACACCCTTCACCCAGGCATTTTTTTTCAACCGATCCCAAACATACTATATATTTTCTGAAAGCGGAGGATGAGGCGGTTCCAACGGCGACCATATCGCCGTGCAATATGTTCATCAGCAGAACTTATTAATTTTATGTTAAAAAATCGAAAATCCTCAAAAATCATTAGGCAAACCGTTCACTGCACTTTCTTGAATGGATATCGGACATTCTATATATTTTCTGAAAGCGGAGGACGAGACGGTTCTAATGGTGACCATCTCGGCGTACAAGATGTTCATCTTCAGAAGTTATGAATTTTTTTTTATGTTAAAAACTCGAAAATCTCCAAAAGTCATTACTCACACCCGTCACCAAGCCCTTTTTTCAACAGACTCCTCCTTTCCTATACATAAACAATTCACACGTACAAATATCTTCTTTGCCTAACCTTACCTCACTGTTGATTATTTTTCTCGGCTTTTGGTGAAGGGGGTCATCTTGATCCCGACTCAGGGGTGAAGGGAGGGTGAGAAAATTCCCACACTATCGCACCTGTGGCGCTGCATAATTTGCGATATTCCGGAATCGCGAAATTTCTGGAATTTCGCGAAATTCCCGTTCTGTGGGTGGTATTGTACATTGCACAGCACGCGCGGCATTCCGCGATATGTGCTTCTCATGCGACTTCCAACCATTTCCCTTTGTCTTCCTGCATTTTGGGACCCGTCATACTTCGCCGAAAAAAGCCCAGTTTCACACACATCCATGCAAAATGAACTCTTAAACTATACCTGCCCTATTTCTGCAGTGTTCAACACAGTGTGTATGTAGCCTGTGGAATCAGTACACTGAAAGATCCATTTACACTAAAATTCCAGGAAAAAACTTGTATCCTACAACTAGGCACATCTGTATACTGGAAGACGTGCCTCGCCTAGCTGAGTTGAATGCTACTCTTATATATAGAATTCATAAATTTTGATTCAAGATAAGGTCTTTTTTTATAAAAAGTTAGGCGTTGCGCGACAAAGTTAGGCGACAAATGCCGCTTTTCCGCCGACTTTTGTCGCGCGACGCGGCGTTTGTCACCTAACTGCGGCGGCGCCGCGTAAGTTAAGTGCCGCCGCCATTTTTTTCACAAATTACGGGTGGTATTGTAGGTTGGCACGGAAATTCTTCCGTTGTCAAGATGAAAGGTATAATTTAAACAATAAGGAACAGAGAAGTTTATTAGTGGCTTTTTTCCAAAAATCGTGACTTTTTGTGAAGACGTTCGGCTATTACACGCTTTTCTTATCCGGAAAGGGCAAATGACATCTATTTTTACTGACAATTTCATAATTTCCGCAACATTCAGGTTTTTGGACATAATTCAGAGTAACAAATCTCGTTCCGCTTGTTTCTCTGTTACCTTCTCACGGTAAAAACTCGTCAAAAAGCTTTTGTAAAGGCAGAAAACATCTTCTCAATACAATTTTCGCAAGTCTAACGACAAATCATAAACTTTCAAAGTGAAGTACGAGAATCTTTGAGCAAAGCTGTTGCACAGGGGGTGTCCCAAAGTAAGCACACACTTTTTAATCGTAAATAACTCTCTTCCCGCTTAGTCTTTTCTTTAGTTTCAAGTACCGTTCAGTAAAGGAGGCTTCAACTTAGATCTGCTTATGGAGCGAATCACCCACCGCCCTTCACTACGTAGGGTTACGGTACAAACTTCAAGCATTTAGCGTCATTCGAAATAGGCTATTTAAAAAAGTCCTAAAAAAATCAGGAAAGATGCACAGAAGTGTTTTTGGACATGCTGTATTCATCAGACAACTGTTTATGAGTTCTTGATGAGTTTCAAATGGTACAACCACACTTTTCAAACACTGAAAAGACGTCTTTGCGGTTTACTTGGCATAACTTATGGAGAAAGCCTGATTCTGAAATGCGATTTTTACGGTAATAGTCGGCGAGCTAGTCTAGCTTAACGACGGTGCTTTCGACTCTTTGAGCATCTCTTCTGAGGCAATATGACTTGACTGGCTTTTGATGGCTTTGATGGCTTTGATGGCACAAAACCCTCTGCAAAATTCCTACTAATCTCACAGTAATGAAGAGATTTGGATGTTTTCTCCATACTGTAAATTTGATCTGAAGTCCCCTCTCCGAATGATGCTTAAACCTAAGGAAACTTGATGGGAAGGGAGTTATTCATGTTCGAAAAGTGTGTACTTACTTTTGGGACACTCCGTCTATATAAGGGATTGATGATGTCTTATATGACGCAAGAAGGGAAGAAGTGACTGATAGGTTGCCTGTGCAGATTCAGTTTGCTGTCCAAAAGAAACATTTTGAAAAGACGGACTCTACTACTACTATCCATTTAAAAATCGTGATACCTATGCAAACAAAAACTCACAAGGCTTGAAGTCACTTGTTAGCAATATCGTTGTTCATATGAAAGTTGTGCAACATATACCAGTATATTCGAGCGCAAGGGTAATTCTAAGAAAGATATATCCAATACCACACTTAAATTCACCACCTACGTTGACGAAATGACCAGCATATCCAACTTATCACTCTAATTTTGATTAAGATACGATCTATTGCTTGCCTATCTGCATCGCCTATCTTATCGGGTACAGGCTGTGTAATTTACTTCACTTCTTTTGTGATTTCCCGCAAACTGTTTGGGTTCTGATTTTAAAAAGTTGATATTTGAAAAAACGCAATATTTTTGAATGATTCAGTAAGAATCATGCTAGCGCTGATAATGCTCCCCTACTCGTCGATTACATCAATGCATACTTTACATGGAAGCAGACTTCTATAGCTTTTCCAAAAATAACAAAGATTTTGCAACAGATACCACTTTTCCGCATTCCTACTTAGCTTTGCTTATCACTGTCGCATTCTTTTTCAGCTTAGGAAGGTGTTTCGCATTCTTGTCTAAGATTACGTTATGTTGAGAGCGTCAAATACGCTCTTCATCGCTCAGAAAGGTTTATTCTCAGAGCTGACATGCGAATTTATGGTTATGTTTATTTGCAAAAGCGTTATTGTTTGCTATGAAGTTTGTGCTATCGGAACTGAACTTGATGTTAGTTTCGCGATCCTTGGTCTGAGTCTTAGTTCACAACTCTCGATTACACCCATCTGTAAAGCGTTTTTAAAATTTGGTCAGAGTTAATGTGACACTGAAAATTTTCGAATTTTTATTTCAATCTGCTTAAAAAATATTTTCCAAGATTGCAAACGCTGAGATTATCAATGAAGTAACCTTTGTTAAAACTTTGCACATGCATTCTAATAATAAGACACAGATCAGTTAGCCTCAGATAACCGATTGACTATCGTTTCGTTATTGCCAAGTCCACTTCAAGAACTTGGGGAGCTAAAAAAAAATTTACGAAAAGAAATCACTCTAGCTAAAAAACTATGAATAAATCAAGACTTAATCCAAATGAACTGCGATATCGGCAAAGGTCCATATTTAATTTGAATAGAGAAGCATGTACATGTGATCATGTAAGCTACCCCACCCCGTTTACCTAACTATCGTGCATTTGTAAATGCCTACTGCAAAGTTAGTAAAGGGCGATTTTCTAACATTCAAAAACGTCTTGAGTGTATTCTTGCTAAAATTGCTTTTAGCGAAATGAAGAAATCTGTTTGGAAAGTTGTTTGTTCCGGCAAAATTAACAGCTACTGGTTAATACACACGCCTTGCAAAAAATTACAAAGGCCTCATATGTTGATGGCTGCAAAGTTTCTATACAACTGGTTAAAATCTGCAATTTCACGCTTTCTTGCAAGTAATTATACATGCCATTAACAGTGTTACAGAGCTTATAAATGCGCTAATGTAAAGATCCAATCAAAATGCGAAATCCATAAGTGAGTCATAATCTTTCAGTCGTAAGCATGTCATCGAATCGTTACCTTTAAGGACCATTATTTGCACTCGGCGCATTTTATAGCTAAAAATTTCTGTAAAAAAGGTTTTGCATCATTGTAAATGGTACACAGCTTGCCTAATGGAGCTCGACAGTCCTAATCTCAATTTATAACAAAAATAGCAAGATTTTCCCTTTTCAATTGAATCTCGTTATTAGCTAATGTGGAAAATTTTTTTGGTGCCTTTCAATATTCCTTCTGTCTTAATTCACAATGTTTGCGCTTGCAACCAATATTATTTTCTCGCAAACATTTGAATACTACGGTCTATTCTACCCAGTTAAATTTTTACTTGCTGCCCATAATCCACCTCGTTAACAATACTTTCGGCTTGAAACACTGCAACACTCAAACCTTCGTTTCCCCTTCAATACTTTTTCCCCTCGTTAGATGATAGCAATTCTATATACAGATTCAGGTACAACAAATATTATTTAAAACTATAGCAAAGGCCCGAAATCCCACAAGCAAGACCAATGTTGGTGCTTGTCCAAGTGCTACTCCTGCTTTTAGCATCCGTTTCTGAAGGATCACAAAACGCATCGTTCTCAGGAGCACAAGGGATCATTTATTCCCCTGGCTATCCCGACAACTATGCTAATCAACTCGATCAGTTCTACACTATTACGGTAAGTTCTATTCAAAATAAAAAAAATTTTTTTCCACTAAACACAAAGATTGCGCTTTGATTTATCGCGGAGTAGAAAAGGCCGGAACTTTGAAGAGAACACATCGTAAATTACGCACAGCACCGCTGATAAGGTACTGTCGAACATAAAACACAATTTATCTTACAAATGCAAAACAATCAATTTGGCGGGAGATTTGAGAATATAAGTTTTAATTTAGGTGAATCCCGGTTACTACATACACTTAACATTGTATGATTTTAAAACTGAAGCATGCTGTGACAAGTTGTACATCTGGAATGGACTTGATACCAGTCGACCTACTATCGCAAAGTTTGTTTAGACATTACCGTCTTCATTTATTTATGTACGCTACAGCTCTTTTTCGCAATCAGAATATAAAAAAATTTCGCTTGAGCTCGATCTTTGGAGAAAGATCAGTGAAATGTTTCAGATAATTGACGGTGTCAGATAGAACAATTTAAGACAAAAGAATCTAGTTGACGTCATAGACGAAATATTTCCTTCTTATGACAAATGACACAAGAAATTTAGGTATTTTCGGCAGTTTTTGAGGTGCAAGATTTAGATATACAATAACAACCTTTCACTTAAGATAATCACTGTTACTCAAGTTTATAAGAGTTTTCTTAATCAGTTACTGAAAAAAAAACTACAGGGTGTCCCAAAAGTAGTACACACTTTTCAATCGCCAATATCTCTCTTTCCAATGGGTCTTTATTTGCCAGTCATGTACCATTCTGTAGAGGAGGCTTCAAGTTAGATTTACGGTATCGATCAAATCGCCGATCGCTCTCCGTTACTGTAGAATTAGGTAAGAAATTCCAGCATGTGGAACTATTGTGATTTATGCCATCTGACAAAATTTCTTTCGAAAAATCTGAAAAATCTTGTACTAGGGTTTTCGCGTACGCTGATTCCACTACACAAATTTCTACGAGTGTTTTCAGCTTTTTTGACGGTGTAATCACACTTCTAACAAGTAGTGGGGATTCGGTTATCGCGGTTTACCTGGGATAATTTTGAAAAGAATCATCGTAGTAAAGTGGTCATATTCGAAATCAGCGGCTTCCACCACCATAGTATAAGAGTTTTTGGGCTTGTTTGTTCTGTTCCGAGGCAGAATATGGTTTCCAATTTCCTGAAATCCTTGTCGAAGTTCCTACAGTAATCCTACAGTAACGAAGAGCGATCAGTGATTCGCTCGATACGATAAATCTAAGCTGAAGTCTCCTCTACAGATTGGTACTTGAATGGCGGAAAAAGACACGACGGAAAGAGATATATCAAAGATTGTGTACTTACTTTTGAGACACCCTGTATTCCTTAGTTAGCATAATAGAGACAGAGCAATTCAGCTAAATAAAACATTTTTTTTTGAACTTCTTCGAAGCTGGTAGGAGTAACACCTGTGAGGATAGATTATCAAAAAGAAACCATTCTATATCACGGTAGTTACTCAAAGCATGAATTTTTTGTGTCTTTTATCACTTTTGTGAAAATCTTTTACCATAGATCATTACTTTGTATGGGTTTAAAGCTGCACTGTAGTTCCAAATAAATCAGTGTAAAAAATTTCGCGTAGAGTGAATAGCTGGAGCTATTTTTTAAACTCACATCAGAATCAGATTACAAAGAATGTCTTAGCGTCTCAAAACTGGAATCTTTCCAGCATCTCTGGAGATGCCACAGGCCAAACCTTCAGTTCGTCGGGATCGGTTCTGACAATGCTCTTCAACACCGACATTACCGGTCAAGATCGCGGTTTCGCAATCCAATACGAAATGGTCCCAAGTAAGAAGCACGAAAATATTCATGCGTCCTTTCCACATAATGCCAGAACATTGTAGTGAACACTCAGTACACAGAGCCAAATACATGCGAGTCGGTCTTGCATCTTTCAAGTACGGGATTTGTAACGTCGCCCAACTGGCCCGGTAACTATCCAAATGATGTGACTTGCAACTATGTGATGACAATGAAACAAGGAAGGTATGGTTGCTTCATCACAAATTTTCCGTTGATTTTCCTCTCGCCAACTACTGATTTCTCTTAGAGCTTGTCTAAGTACTATGAGTTTTGCTTTTTCGTTTCTCATCACAGTCAGCCAAAAATGAATTGTCATTGAAATTAGCTCAGGTGAAAAGACGTATTTTATAGAATTATAAAAACTTCTGTTAGTCATGGCCATTTTTGACTCTCTGCTGTTTGTAATTTCGTTTTAAGTCAGTATAGAAAAAATTTGAATTTTTCTTATGTTTACGGATAAGAAAAGGCATTAGCTAGTTCAGTGCCCAAGCGGCAATTCATAAAATCCATGCTTGGCTGAGAAATTCTATTCTAAACTCTTTTCCTTACCGTATCCGTACCCGTCTACAACCATAGTTCAAACTGACCAATCATAGAACTCGGATAAGGTACGCTGATTGGTCAAAAATTTATAGCTAGTTTGCCAGATCACATGAGTTGCCCCCTAGGCACTGTCTTTCTAAGGCCTTTTCGGTATCGGCACACATATCCAGGTCCTAAAATTCGAAAGTGGACAATGCCTTCTCAAATCTAGATTTTGAGGGTACACTCATATATTATGACCCACAATCGAAAGCGTGCATGTAATTTTTTTATCCAGATTTGATAGGCTTTTTACATACTCAGCATTCATTCATTATGCTATTCTTGTCTGAAAAACGCTGACCTACTCTAACTTAATCGAAATACGCAAAATGCACTTTTTTCGACTTCCCTCATTATTCTATAATCACCTAATATTTTCAGCAGGGTGATGCTCACCTTCACCGACTTTGCAACCGAGGATTGTTGTGATAAAGTGGAAATCTATGATGGCCCAAATGCTTCATACCCGAAACTGGCTGAGTGAGCAGAAAGATAACCCCATACTTTTGAAAACCAGTAATAACTATTTTTAGGCTCTCGGGTAACGCACTGCAGACGAACACATTCTATTCGACACAGGAAAGCATGTTTTTGACTTTCTACTCGGACTACACACAGAACGACAAGGGCTTCAGCGCCTATTACAAGGAAATTGGTAGTGTGCTGAAACATTAGCGACCTCCAATAAAGAATCATTTGTGTGCAATTTATTTGTATGTAAATCAGCAATCTGGAAGTACGTAGAGGCTACTGCATGACGAAGGCGCAGAAGCAGTATCAGTTGAGTGGGCGCGACGCGAGGCGCGCGTATCTTCACCATCTTAATCTTGCGCCTCTGCGCTCTGCTGGTAATAAAGCCGCGTTCGCGCCTGAAGATGTTGCGCCTTGGACATGCAGCAGCCTATGACTAATGTTGTTACCACACTTCAACTACTAGTTACTAATGTAGTCTGGAGATAGTGGACAATAAAAAAGAAAAAATAATAAATGATAAAGAAATATAATCATAGAATAATGACTAAACGATAAAATTAAAGGTAAAAATAGTAAGTAACGGAGCAAAGCAAGCTGAATATGACTTCTGAACGATCGGCTTCAGCATGAAATCTCCAAAATTGAAGGTTCTAAATGTTCAGAAATTCGAAAAAAATGTCTTTGGGCAAAAAGATTACGAATCTCTGGGTAGCACATGCAAACACTCTCCACATCGGACATTTAAGTAAACAGTTTCGTATTTTTTCTTGGCCAAACATGGAGAAAAGAGGGATTTTGTATATTTCACAAAGCCCTGGCGCTTTGCCCATACAAAAATTTTTCTACAGCCAAGCACAGCCGCAAAGTTCAGAATTTTACAAAAGCTGGTTTCTGACTTGTCAAATCCACATAATAATCCTAAAAGATAGTTCAATGAAATTTTCTGAAAAATACTCCCGTGAAAAGTTGGTATAGATTGAAATAGCCCATCACTGTTTTGACAAAAGCATAATATTTTCAAGTCATACAGGGTGTCCCAAAAAATGTGCATACTGTTTGATTGTTAATATCTCTCTTGCTTTCATGTCTTTCGCCGAGTTTGAGGGACCATTCTGCGAGCCAGGTTCAACATAGATTTATAGTTTAAAGACGAATCACCGATGGCTCGTTCGTACTGTAGTACTACAGTAGGAACTTTGAAGAAGATTCTTAGTCGGGGGGGGGGCATATCTGGCCTGTGAAAATGAATCGAATGAATTAAAAATTCTCACATTGGGTTAATCAAAATCACTGATTTCACTCATGATACCACCACTTCAGCACGACGCTTCTTGATAAGTTAGCCAGATACGCCGGTTTTCCAATGCTCGGAAATCTGATTACACCTTGATTACATTTGATTACAAGAAATTGTCTTTGACCTAAAAAAGAGAAGAGTATCTTACGAACGGCGATAAAAAAGGATTGCGCAAACGATCAATTTGTTGAGGTTTTACTTGAGCACCTGAAAATTCTTGCACAGAGATGTCGGTGTAGCTCGCCGTGATTATTGTCCTTACGGCGAAATCCAAAAACCAATTCAAATTTGCATCTTCTGAGAAAGTTCCATCCAATCGAAATTACCGATCTCACATTATAAAGCCTTTGCAATGGTTTGCTTTTTACAACTCGATTGTGATAGTCAGCATTGTGCGGTGAGTTTCGATGCCACCGTTATGCCAGAATGGGTAAGGCACCTGCATAGTGGAACCGTCCCTATGATTTACCAGTTGAGTCTCTGCGAAGATGACGCTTTGGTAAATCATAAGGCCGCTGTTAAGTGCATCACGATATTCTCCAAGTTGACCTTTAGCGGCATTTCTTATGCTTACAATCATGCACTTTCTTATGCGTAACATGACAATCCGTCATCGCTTATTTGCAAGTGTAATTATCTTTACTTATCGCGCAATTACATTTCATAAAAAATGACGAAATGATTTTGTCTATTGTTGGCAGAAGGCGCAACTACCGATCTTGCATAAAAAATAAATAAGCGACGTTGTGGTAAGTAAAAACGAGGTAATTGCCGCTTCACTGTAAGCAGCACATCGACTGCTGCAAGGCACCAGCTACACTTTGCTCAGAAGCGCCCAAAACCGCACACATTTCTTTGATCTTTTTTCATATTTCACTCATTTCTTCTCACATACGTTCCGAGTCAGGCTAAAAGCGCCAGCAAGCTTTTGAGCGTTTTTGAGTGAAGTCTGACAGGTACACAAAGAAGTACAACAACAAGTTTCTCTTCAGACCTTTAAACATGTTAAGTCTCATAGTCAGAGGCAGGGTTCAAACAAGGTTGGGATCTTATAATATGATAGCGGACGCCTTTGGACACGCCGCAGCATATCCTTAGAGAACGGCCGTAGGTTGCCGGCAACGGTTCCCCAGGTTGCCGGCGTTGCTGAGATTGCTGGGGTTGCCGAGGTTGCCGGCGTTGTTGAGGTTACAGGCGTTGCCGGCGGTTGTAGGAGCTCATGATAGCCTCCACGCTTCGCACGCTCTCTAACGAGGGAAAGATACTTGGTGACCGTGGCCTTTTGCAACGAGATGTATACCAGTAGGTGCGTCTCGGAACGCTGGTTCTGAATCTATGTTCATTATCTGCTGTGCGACTCCCTGAACGAAGGTGTGGATTTTTTCCATATTGATTTTGCGAGATTTAGGGGGTGGCGGACTTTATGAACGATAGCGCGCGCTTAGGCAGGTGTGTGTCAATAAGATGCGCACCGTTAGCCCCGCCTATCCAAGATGGACGAGTTCTCTGCAGTACAGTTCTAGCACTGGTTCATGGCCATGTTCCCTAGTCAGTTGAAAGCAACTTTTGATAGTGAGCTTAAGCTTGTTGCAAGCTGAGATGAAGCTTGAATATTTACAGAATTGTTTTGATTTCTTTTCTCTTCTTTGCCAGTCAACGAACAGTTATGTGTTTATCGTGAATTTCAAGAGATTCGCTGTTCTACCTATTAATGACCAAGTGACTCCTGGATATCCAGCTTTGGAGTGTGAAATCAATCTAGAACACCTCAGGCATGATTGTCTGAGTGACCTCACATCTTACGACAACTCACACGCAATTTCTGTATTACAGATCGATTTATATTGAGGATAGCAGTTTTTGGAAGCGAAATAAAAGAATTTTGGAAAATGAAAAAAAAAATGAAAATGTAAGTGCAGTGTGATCCCTTTTCCTGAAATCTGAAAAGGTTTGTGTGATATGACCGCATATTTGCAAAACGAGTGATATCTTATTGTGCGAATGTGATGATGTACACAAGTTACTGAAATCAGTTTGCTTGAAACAAATTTCGCCTATAATGCTTGTTTTGAGTTCTCGTCGCAATGAAATCTGTTTTTAGCTATGATTAGGGTTTCAAAACTTACTTTTCCGATAAAAGAGATAATCGTGTTGGTCATTTCAGCAATGTCATATTATTTATCGATAACTGAATTCAAAATCTACTGTTATCCAAATTGCAACCAATTGAAGAAGCATGAACGAAGTAGATTAATTAACAAGGGGACGGAGCGATCAGCGCACCGCGTACGGTACCCAGCTGGCGGCTGGCACATGCTATCGTTCATAAAGTCATACACCCAGATTTAGGCAGTCAAAATCGTCTGTATACAGGCTTTTTAGAGACTCTGATGTATCGATGACAGTTTTCCTGTGCTTAGCGTGGCGGCGTGGCAGGAGTTCTCAAAGCCTAGCCGCTCTTCCTCGCAGGGTACTTGGTACCTCCAAAAATCCCTTGAAGGACATTACACCTTCTCAGGGTCAAAGAGCGGCTCCGCCCATCGCCCCTCCCTTCGGGTGCCCTCATTCTGAATTGTGTACAAGTAGGTAAGACGTGGTTCAAAGATTTGAGGACAATAGACCTGAAATTGAGACAAAAACTTTGGTACTTTCTATAAAACTTTAGAATCCGTAGATGACTGCAGCTGAATCTCTAGCATTTCGAGCTAATGTTCCTCATGTTTCTATAAGAAATGAAGCTTCCCTAGGAACTTAAGTGCTCGCGCTTGATTAAGTTTCTGATGAATATCGTATGTGTAATGATATAAATAAGCAGAAGTTATGTCAGAAGTTCAGAAGTTAGTCAATTTCATGCAAGTTCTAAAATTCATCCATGAATATAGCGAATTAGAATACTTTGCAGATTTAGTGCGTTTGGAACTCTTAGCCAACTCTTCAATCACACATGCGACGGAAGTTTGGTAATACATCGATTGTAAGACTTTCTACATGGAAAATTTCCTTTCGATAAATTGGATATTATTGTAGAGTAACTGGAATGAAAAACTCATCCAAATATTTGAGGGCAGACGAAAGTAGGAAAACAAATATGCTAACTACTGGAGAAAGCTTCAAGTTGGCTTTTCGAAAATTTGATATACTTCTTTCAAAATAGGTTCTTTCATTGTTGAGAAGGTAATCGGAGTCTTAACCAAGTCTGTTCACTCAGTCATTCAAAACTGCTAATGCCACATTACTTCAAACAGATGACCAGTGATTTACACGAACAATCGAACAGATTCGAAGACCGGTTTTCTGCTCAAAAATCCTGCGGAACTTATTTCTTCTGAAAGTGATGGCGTAGCAGAAGCTTCACTTGAGAAATATTAACTGTGTTCTTTGCTTTTCTCCATTTTTCCTCCCTTAATACCTTGATACCTGAATCTAGGTTCTCGATGCTTGCACACCTTACTATAAGACCAGTAAATGGATGGAGCAAAAGGCGGGGCATGACCTCTGAGACGCGGAGGTGCTAGAACCCTTCTGGGTGCGAATGCTGGTGCGAACTTGGTGCGAAGAAAGGTGCTAGGAACTCCTGCACGCCCTCCGCTTAGCGTGAAGCTTTACTTTATCTGTACGCTCTTTTGTAGTGCGTAAGCGAACATTCTAACGATATCGGTGAATCCTGCATCAAAAACAGTGCAATTTTAGTGAAAAGAAATGTTCATAACTTCTTTCGGAAGAGCGCACAGCAGATACCGAAAGCAGATTTGAAATCAGCGTCCAAGATGCAATTAATAATATACATTTCATTTCCAAAGGCCACGGTCACCATGTATCCTTTCCTTGTTAGCTGACCTGACCTCGGCAAATTCGGCAACCGTTGCCAGCAACCGCTGCCTGCAATTTGTGGCCGTTTCCTTGAACCAGAACAAAAAATCCGCCCAAGAAGTTGGAATACTCATGCCCTACGAAGAAAGTCTCGTCTCAAGTTTAGTGCTCTGCGATAGAGTGCTCGCCGCCACGGTAATTTCATGGGATCTCACAGCGATAGTCATTGCCACTTACAATATAAAGTGATTCTGAGAAGCTGACAAAAAAGTGTAGGTTTGGATTCAGTGTTAAAGGGGAGCGAGCTTATCCCGAGATGGCCGCCATCCAAACGCGAACCTTAACACATGTGTGTCAAATGGTCCTCAGTCCCGCAATACGAGTGCAACTCATGCACCTCAAATCAAGTACAGTAAGTTTCGACCTGCTTCAGGCGGAAAGTGGACTGGCTGGCGTCCCCCTAGCAATGATTCGCGCCGTTTCGCAGTTACGACATATCATATCGTGCTGAAAACCCAAGCCTGCGTCTCTTCATTCTTCTTAGTCTTCGCTTGGCAAAATGCCAGCGCTGTGCGCTCGCGAAGCCTCCAGCGATGCGCTCACGATGCTCCACGTAGAATGTTCCGTCTGATTCATGAAATCGACTGTAACAGTGTTCAGCAGTCTACAGCATTTCTGCTTAGATTAACCGAGAAAAGCAGCTGTAAGTAGTTGTGCTTTATTCGCTTACTCGCAATCAAGTTTGTTTGATAGGTTGAATTGTTATCTATGTGCAAAAATTCGAGAATTCATGTGCTTTCAGTTTCGGATGTGCGGTGACTTCAACCTATTGCACACTTTACGTGGATGCTTGCGAGAAGACGCGGTTTCAAACATTTTTGGCTTGTGGAGCCGTGGACCATGCATTCCCCAGTGATAATGTCGTGCTCTTGTTCAACATCGACCGTTTTCGTCGGCTTACTGCACCGACGGTGGTCCCTGGGATTTTAGAATTTTGGGCATTGTTTAAGAGATCATCAACAATCATTCCAATATAGCTAAACATCGGTAGGAGAACAAAAAAACAGTGCACAATTTGCTGCACATTTTCCCAATGCGCATCAGCAAGCGGCGGCATTGCGGCGTGGATCATCAGTCAATGAAGGCAATTTGACGCACGGGAACACGCCCACGGGCATTACGCGACCTAGCGTGGCGGGTACGTCGAAAAGGGCCTACGCAATTGACGGCTGTATGCATGTGAGACAAAAGAAGGTGTTGCAGAATTTGCAATATTTTGTAATAAACGCTACTCTCTGATTTCTTTTTCCTCTGCCCACATCTTTTTTAAAGGTTTTCAAAAGCTTGAAATTCAACATGTTTCACGTAGAAAGGTGCTATACACTCTGACATAAACGTATACGTTTTGTGTAGGTGTTGCCAATTACTATGAGACATTAGCTGTAAACAGAATAAAAAACGAGCGATCTGCATAAATTTAATTTGGAAGAAACACCTATCAAAATTCCTTTCTTCTTAAAAGCCACAACAGAGGTAAAATTTGTGCTTCAGATTCGGGCTTCATTCTTGTCTGTTGCTCAAACCGTCGCCAATCGCTCTCACTCCCAAAGATTTTGAAAGAAGTAGTAAGCTTCGTTGGTATTGATCTTACAAGGAGAGGATACTTAGTCGAAATCCGGATGAGACATATATCATCTTAAAGCGCTTGAAACGCTGATTCTAAATCTGTGTTTTTTTTCAATTTATTTCATCTGCAGTTTCTAGCTGCGGAGCGGTTTTATAGAAGAAGTTATGAAGGGTGTTCCCTTCTGAGGTTTAGGCGCCTTCCAGCGGTCTCCCCTTATCTGTAAGCACTGTAGAGGAGTATCAGCTGATGGCAACTGACCTAATGGTAAGTAACTTGAATGAAGATTACACTAAAGATTATAATACTCATATTACTTTGGTTTTTTAACACTTCTAACTTCGATTAGTATCAATATCATCAGAAGTTTCATGCTTTAGGACTTTAAAGCCATTTAGAAGTTCAATTTAGCGTGCGAAGGGAGTTAAAATCTTGACACTCTCTTTATCAAGCACGTCACTTACCACTAGGTCAGTTGCCACCAGTTGGTACTCCCATACAGTGCTCATAGGTAGGGGGAGACCTGGTGGAAAGTGCCTCAGCCCCAGAGGAAACACCCCTCATAACTCCCTCTACAAAACCGCTCCGCAGCTAGAAACTGCAGATTTGGAATCAGCGTTTCAAGCGCTTTAAGGTGATATATGTCTCATCTGGATTGGTGCTTTCGACTAAGTATCCTCTCCTTGTTAGTAGTTGGGGAATTTGGGGGGGGGGGGGGAAAGAGGGGAATCAACTGTTGCTACTATAATTTTGATTCAGTCATTACAAGCGGTACATGTGCAACGTAAACAAGCGAAATTTCAAAAAAAATGCAATCCTGCCTTCTTGTTGCTTTCTATTTTTCTCAGGGCGAATGGACCAGGAAAAGCTGTGAAAAAAGGTCTTTTTTTCAAGCCATGTGCTACACTCGCAGTGCGGTCGTCCAGTAATGGAGCATGAGTATAACACTGTTCCATCAAATTCAGGTAACCCTTACTGGTCCCTCACTCTGTAGCTTTGAAGGGTAACGGTATAATGGTGACATACTGCTATCTCATCTTGCACCCCCCCCCCCTTTTTCTGTAGAAGTTTCGCAAATTCACAGAAAACAAGAATTGTTTATAGCATCTGTAAGACGCAAAAGTGGGAAAGTTTTGTACGTCTGCAACACTAGTTCCAAAAACTCTTTGCTTTCTAATTTTTGAAGAGGAATAAATTGATATTAATGAAAAATATCTATCGGCTATCACTCTTTTTTATCTGAACGTGCGTTTATAACTACAGTTTTGAGAGGACTCATCGGCAGATCGTATGTTCTTTGAAGTTCCACTCTTTACAAGTTTACAGCAAAAATTTGTGGAATTCTGGTACATATTTAGAGACACCTCGGTAAAGCCTTAGCCAAAAGACTACTACTTTTAATCATATAAGCTACCTTAGGGACTAACTTTGACGTTGCAAAACAGGCTCTGTCCAATGGCAGAACTGAAAAATGCCCCGATCGTAACTGTTAACTTTTTCAACCGGTATCTTATCGCGTAATCACGTAATCAATCACGCAGATTAATATACCTAGTGACCGCCAAAAAGTTGCGGACAAGCCGCCTTCCTTTTTACATCGCTCATTTTCGGATGGAAAACAAAGGTGAAAAAATAATTGGATTGCATGACTGGTAGAGCGCTTTAAAAGCTACAACCACACATTGCGCTTTCTGGAAAATGTGTAATCTAAAAATTTTAAAAATCTTTTTCTAGAAAAAGTAGGAAAATGGCCGCATCACAATGTCGCGGATTGTTCGAGCGCGAAAATTTTGCTTTAAGTCTTTGTTTGGACAAAAACAGAAGTTTTCCGGACAGGTAAGCAACTATGTTATAGAGCTCACCGAGGGCAACGATCAGGTAGTGGTTATTCCCCGAAAAACTTAAATTAGAGAAATAAGCTTAGATTTTACTTCACTTTTTTTCAAAAAATGACTTTAATTACCCTTTCAAGCCAAATTTCTTCACATGGAAACCTATTCAAAATATCTTAACAAAGCTGTTCGGATAAAATGAATGCTCTTTGCCACATTCTACGAATGGGACGTTTGCTGGTGAGTTTCTTCGCTGAAAATGGCTCTTGACAGTGCGTGCACATGACCCCATCTGCACCTCACTACTGACTTGCACCATTTTCAGGCTTGTAGCTCAGCCAGCAGTCATTCTACGAGCCTGAGGGTAGGCTCATTCGAAAGAGCGTGACTTCCTCGAAACGATGGTAGCAAAGGAGCTGAGTCTATGGAAGATCAAAGATTTGACGGATGGGGTGAAAAAGCGAGCCTCAAAGGCGATGGAGTGAAAGCTCTTGTCAATTTCGGAACAATTTTAGAGCTTCATGGATCTATTACAAGGAAATTAACAGTTTAAAACTTCTAGGATGAAATTGGTAGCGAAAGGAGTTTTGTTTAACCCTTAGCTGAAAATCCTTAGCCTACCACTAAAGCTGCGCTTTTTCACCTCATCCGTCAAATCTTTGATATTTCTCAGACTCAGCTCATTTGCTACAATCTTGTCCAGGAAGTCACACTCTTTCGAATGAACCTATCGTCAAGCTTATATGGTGACTGCTGGCCGAGCTACAAGCCTGAAAAGCGGTGCAAGTCAGTGGTGAGGTGCAGATGAGGTCATGTGCGCGCATCATCGACGGCGACTTTCACTAAGGAAAGTCGTCAGCACACGTCAATGAGTTCAATAACTGAGAAATTTCCGCTTTACAAGCAGCACTGTTAAAGAACTCAAAAATGAATCTCATTCCACTTCTTAGGGTCAAAACTTGAATTTCATTACACATTCAAATACTAACTTATAGCAGCCAAGAGACTCCTAGAATCTTTCCGGATCTAAAAATAACAAACCTCTTACACATCTTGCTAGCCGACACACACGGAGACAAACAGGCTTCATTTCACAACGAACTGGCACAAAATCAAGTCCTTTGCTAGAACGGAAAAGATCAATTAGTACCTAATGAAATTCGACTTCATGAAATCGTAACAAATGACAACGCTATTGCACTCTAACTTCGTCGCATGACCTCTGGCTTCTATTACGGCCTTACAACGGCTTGGCATGGATTCGACCAGTCCCTGTAGACGCTGCACTGGAATTGATTCCCAGGCGGTTCGTACTGCAGCTAAAAGTTCTTCAGGTCTAGTAAAACTTCTCTTCCGACGCCTTCCGACTTCTGCCCACAGGTTTTCTATAAGATTTAGGTCCGGACTTTGTGCCGGCCACGGGAGAGTGATAATACCATTTTTTTCAAACCATTCACTCACGACTCTCGACTTGTGTTTGGGATCATTATCTTGTTGAAAGGTCTGTAATGGTGTAAAATTAGTACTAAGAAAATCATTCATTAACAAATCCATACCCAATTAACATCGGGAAGCTCAGCTTCGAGAGTTCGCAGAGGTGGATTCATGACTTCTTCGAGTATTCTTTTGTATCCGAATCGATCCATAACCCCACGATGAGATACAAGGGGCCTAATCCGTAGTAACTAAAACAGCCCCAGACCATGATGTTGCCGCCTCCGCATTTCACGCTGGACTTTGTGTACTTTGGCTTGTATCGCTCCCTGACTGGTCTTCGTACCCACTGACGTCCGTCGCTTCCCGCCATGTTGAACTTGCTTTCATCAAACCATATCACTCCTCTCCACTGATTTTGTCAATCGACATGCTCCTTGCTAATTGAATCCTTTCCCGAACATTTCTATGAGATAAACGGCTTTGTCGCAGGACGTCTTCCGTGTAAGACTGAAAAATTGCAAACAGTAACAACATGAGATAGTGCAAATCTATGCCTACCTGTTGCAGTCGACGCTATACTGTGCGGACGCTCAAATAGCTCAGCCTCAGGTTGTCACGAATTTCGGCTGCGCTAGTGAAGGGATCATTCGTGCACTCCCGCAAGATCATTCTATTGGTCCTGAAAACAGAACCAATAAGACGATCTTCCATGCCTGGCAATGAGTACCCACCTCTCATCTGTGGAGCGTTTGCGGCCCAAGGGTGCTGGCTCAGCTGGATTTCTTGTACTTTTGTAAATGTTCCACTCCGCTTTTTGACATCTCTAAGTGGGCAGCAACTCTTCTGAATGCCCATCCATCCTCGTTATAGAGAGCATGAGATGCTCCGTACTCATCTGATAACAGCAGTTTTGATTCATACATTTCCGGTTCTTCATCCTCTCCAGATATCATAATTTCTCACTATTTCTTTCATCTCCGTAGCACGTTTGCACCGACGCATGCGCAAGCTCAAACTGCGAGCGCAGTTCGGCGGCATTGGTGATCTCGTCCCCGGCAATGGCATTGTAAGCAGTATCGACGACAGCTCTAAATTCAATCATTTTCAAGTCCAATGTAATGCGCAAGAGTGCCGATCAGAGGTGCGATAGTCGGAGCCGATTCTCCGCCTACCTTCACTTTTGAGCTGGTACAGGGTGACCACCTTCACTTTTGGTTTTGAAACTTTTTTTGCTAAGGCTCAAAAAAGGAAAATAAGCAAAAGGAATGTAAAAAAAAAGTATTAAGAGCATATATCTATGTAGTAGGTCGATCCAGGCAGTAACCGCCGAGAACCAGAATTTCGAATGATAAAATAATGAAAAATCGCGAAAAATCATTCCACTGTTACAAATCTGCTGGCTGAAGGCCTCCGCAGTTGCGACTTCATAGGTTTTGAAGGGTAAGTGTTGTTCTACCAACAATGAAAGAAACAGTTTGATTTGAGAAGTGGCCGCCAAGAACGAGAATTTTGAAAAACCCTAAAAATCTTCTCAATTTTAGGTTGCTTAATGACAACTGACATTTAAACTCTTATAAATCCGGACTTCGAAGGTGTGTGATGTTGCGACTTCATAGGTTTTGTAGGATGAGGTTTGGCTTATCAGAATATGTCGTAGCTGTACAGATCCATTGAAACATTGCCGAGATCCAGGCTCTTGAAAAAGCAGGTGAAACACCGTTTTTCAGTTTATAACTTCTTCAGAATTGCATAATTCATGTTGCGACTTCATAGGTTGGATTCTCCTTATCAAGAGCTTTCAGATGGTATATAATATGTGGGGGATTCAATGTTTCTTGCGGCTCTAACCCGAGGTGGGGTACTCCTCTTCACTAATTCTCCACCGCGCCCATTTCAATGTATTGGCGGGAGGCCGCCAGTGGAGAATTAGTGAAGAGAGGTACTCCACCCCCGGGCATATGCCGTGGGAGGCGTGAATCCCCCACATATTATATACCATCTGAAAGCTCTTGATAAGGAGAATCCAACCTATGAAGTCGCAACATGAATTATGCAATTCTGAAGAAGTTATAAGGTGAAAAACGGTTTTTCACCTGCTTTTTCAAGAGCCTGGATCTCGGCGATGTTTCAATGAATCGGTACAGCTAAGACATATTCTGATAGGGCAAACCTCACCCTACAAAACTATGAAGTTGCAACATCACACACCTTCGAAGTCCGGATTTATAAGAGTTTAAATGTCGGTTGTCATTAAGCAACCTAAAATTGAGAAGATTTTCAGGGTTTTTCAAAATTCTCGTTCTCGGCGGCCACTCCTCAAATCAAACTGTTTCTTTCATTGTTGGTAGAACAACATTTACCCTTCAAAACCTATGAAGTCGCAACTGCGGAGGCCTTCAGCCAGCAGATTTGTAGCAGTGGAATGATTTCACGATTTTTCATTATTTTATCATCAAAATTCTGGTTCTCGGCGGTTACTGCCTGTATCGACCTACTTTCTTCGCAGTACGTCATAACAAAATGTACTTGATGGAACACACAAAGTCTAGCTGAGTATCGCTTGCAAATACATTATTTCATTAACACCTTTATTTAAAATATTGCAGTTGTACTCATCATATTTGTGGCTCTAAAGAGGGCCGTTGGGTCACAGTTATTGGCTCTAAAGAAAGCCGTTGGGTAAGAGCTCTTCAGTTGTCCTAAGTCATCATGAAGCTTTGCTCTATCGTAGAAAGTGCTGAGACGTATATGCGTCCATGCCGGTGATGGCCTCCAGGTGCTCGCAGTAGGCGACGGCGACTTCGTAAAAATAAACTGCATAGAATATGCTCTCAATACTTTCTTTTGCGTTCGTTTTGCTTAATTTCCTTTTTCAGTTTCACCAAAGAAAGTCAATACCTAAAAGTCGAAAAAAAACCCTAAGCAAAAAAACCAAAAAACCCAAACCCAAAGTCCGTCCTGTGCCTCCCCCTCTCTACCCCCACCCCGGTCAACGTTTTTGAGAGGTAAGTGTCCAGCACTACCACCTTCACTTTTGCTGGCCTGTGGTAGCTGCGACCCCCCCCCCCCTCCCCCCCCCGGTCGACGTTTTTGGGAGGTGAGTGTCCGGCACTACCACCTTCACTTTTGGGCGGCCAGTGGTAGCTGGAACCACCTTCACTTTTGGGGGGCCCGGCTCCACCTATCGCACCTCTGGTGCCGATGCGAGCCTTGGATCGAGCTTTCGCGGCCTCCCTCGACGCACTGGTTCTGGTGGGCTTTTAGCTTTTGTAGAGGTTCCACACTCCGCTTTTCGACATTCTCGCCCTTTCCGCAATTTCTCCGAAGCTGCGCGATTCACGATCACGCAAATAAAAACTAACGCAACCATGGTTCATCCAACAGGAGCCATGGTAGGAGAAACGAAATACTGAAATCGTCGCATCAAAAACAAGAACAATTCAAGTCTCAATGAAACAAATGGCGTTGGCTCCCTAGAAATGGTGAAGAAAGAGTTAACAAAACAAACAGAATTTCGGGAACAAGAGAACACCCGCCATGGACTCAATTCAGAAGTTAGCTCAATGCCAAACAAACTCACACTTGGGAAGAAATAAAATCAAACACATTATAAAAGAATAGATTTCGATTTGCGAGTGTGACGACCTCACAAAGCGTGAAAAGAGATGAATGACAGCAAGCAAAGACACAAAGCTCACCTTAGACAAGAAGTGTAGATGCAGCGCGGGCGAACACGGCTCAATTACGCTTACGATTGACTGAAATAGAGATATTCTTATTTCATAAAGGTAGTGTAGTAAACGGTAAGAGGAGAAAGATGCTGAAGGAAGGGGAATATGCGGCAACCAAAACAAAAAGTGGAGTTAAAAGAGAAACTGCAGAGTCAAAAATAAGCGAATTGACGATTTCGCAACAAGTAGTATTTTCTGATTTTCGGTGCTAAGACCATACGCGCTCACTGTTGCGAAAAAACAACTTCTGTCCTCTGGATCTACAATATGAGAGTTCAGCGAGAAGAATAAGATGAATAACATCAATGAAACACCTTACCTCAGACAAGAATTTCAAATGGAACGCCCGCGAACGCTCACTACGCGTGAGTTTGACTGAAACAAAATACTTATTTCTTTGCAAAGATATTGTAAAAAACGATACCAGAGAAAGCTGCTGGAAGAGGAAGGATATGCAGCAACAAAGCAAAAAAGGAGTCAAAAGAGAAGTTGCAGAGTCAAAAATAAGCGAATTTAAACAATTTCGCAACAAGTATTTTCTGATTTTGAGTGCTGAGATTATACGCGCGCACTGTTGCGAAAAAAACAACGCCTATTCTCTATATCTACAATATGAGAAGTTAGCAAGGTGTACAAAGATATGGTATTTGTAAAAATGAAATTACTCAGCGAGATGAAGGATATGGATAAGACCGATAAAACATCGCCTTACAAAAGAGATGTGGACTGAGCGAGCGTCAATGCTAATGTCTCGATTACGAGTACGTTTGGCTCAAACAGAAAATTATTCCTTTGCAAAGATATTGTAGAAAACGAATCGAGAGAACGATGCTGGGAGAGTGAGGACATGCAGCAACCAAAACAAAAAAAGGAGTTAAAAGAGAAGATGCGGTGTGAAAAAAAAGTGATTGTAAGCAATTTCGCAACAAGTGTTATTTTTTGTATGCGAGTGCGGAGACCATAAGCGCGCATTGTTGCGAAATAACTTTGAGGCCTCTTTATCTACAACAGCTGAAGTCAGCAAGGTGTGGAAAAAATTTGAAGATGCTGGAGAGCCTCTTAGCTGCTACAAGTAGTAACTGGAAATGTCATGAATGATTTGACCCTAAGAAGTGGAATGAGATTCATTCTTGAGACTTTTAACAATGCCGCTTGTAAAGCGGAAATTTATCAAGCATTGAACTCATTGACGTGTGCTGACGACTTTCCTTAGTGAAAGTCGCCGTCGGTGATGCGCGCCCATGACCTCCTCATCTGCACCTCACCACTGATTTACTCGCTTTCCAATCTTGTAGCCTGGCGTCACCATGTAAGCCTGCAAATAGGCTCATTTGAATGAGCTAGACCTTTTCAATACCATGATATGCAACAGAGGTAAGTTCGGGAAGTTTCGGAAAACTGGAGGATGAGTTCAAATTGGTGCAACCTCGAAGGTAATCTTAGGGTTTTTCAGATAAGACTAAGATGAGCTTCATTTG